CTTGCTGTTTTCATTAATTTTGGAAGGTCGTTTTTCCAGAATCTGCCTTTGAGGAACCATGTGCACAAGTTGGACAATGAGGGAGATATTTGAAGCGGTTTGGCTTGGCTAGTTCGAACTGTAATGATGTGTTAATCAAAAATCTGGCGTCAAAACAAACCTTCAGTGTGTTTGAGTCCAACGAGTGTTGTTCAAAAAGTCTCTAAGAAAGTTCAGAACTCTAACCAATGTGCTCTAATAGTCTGGGATACACGAACGAGATCATAATATCCTTTGTTTAATTGGTGGCATAGTATCTAAGCAGTCTGGAGCTATTTGTGGTCTGGTACAATGCTGAAAATGTCAGCTGTCTTCTATTTGAGTGTTTTATAAACCCTAGTGCAATTCTTTGGGTCTTTATGACCTATCAATACAAAACTTTAACTTCAGCTGGCAGCCTGGCTGGCACATATGAAGTGCTTCAGCTGGCTTATTTTGTTGAACCCGTGGCCATTTGAAATTTTACTATTTGGTATTTAGACTTCTATTGGCAATTAAAATGATACTTGGAAATATTGGTGGTGGTGGCACCGGCAATGCTTTATGAGAAAGCGAGACATCTTCCATCTCTAGTGAACAGTCGGGCATTGTTGTTCTCCCATCGCTTTTATTAAGAATAATAAGAACACAAAACACATCTAACACCCTCAGTATTGGTGAGTGACAGCTGCGGCTGGTCCACCACTCCCCTGAGCCAAGCCCTGTCACATACACGCATGCCCAGCATGTCAGCGTCCATCTGGGATCCTACCCTTCAAACTTCTGTCGCCCAGCTCCCTTCCGGCAGAAAGACCCAGGGACAAGAGTGTGAAGTCAGGCCTCACAGGGGCAAGAAGAAAGCCGTCCAAAGCCAGCTGGTCTGGCTTTGAGGAAAGCAAGAGAGATAGAAAGCACAAGAGAGAAAGGAGATAGACAGAAAGAGAAAATTGAGTAAAGGGAAATTAAGAAAGTAAGAGTGGCACGCCTGAGAAAGAGACCCGAGGAAGGCCTTGGCAGCAGGTTCTGTGAAGGTAATCGATCATCTCAAGAAACAGGTGAGATACACAGAGGGGGAGGGGCAATGGGACAGATGTATTGTATACAAAATATGAACACATGACCTGACCGCTTGTGATCGGTAAGTAGATAATGCCAGCAGAGAAAGCATGCTGCTATATATACTGTATATAAACTTGTTGCAATATTTTGCAGTCATATGAATTTTATTCGTAATAATTATTACACTCAACGTCATCAAAAAGCTCAACAAACTTCATTGCAGGTTGTGAGCTATTTGAATAACATTTTCTGTCTATTTTACACTCTTAGAAGAAAAGGTTTTATATAGAACCTTAAAAGGTTCTATCAGCGCTATGTATTTGGAACCCCGAAAAGGTTCTATACACTCTTAAAAAAGGGTTCCTCTGGGTTCTATAGAACCCTGGGGTTCCATACTTGGCCAATAGAACCTTTTACCAAAAAAATGGTTCTATATAGAAGTTCCATATATGAAGCGGGGGATGGAACCATTTCTGCTTCTAAGTGGATTTCTTCTAAGAGTGTAGAGTTGAAATTGTAAACGGGAAACTAGGGAAAGGTTTTCTATGTGGATTTTTGGTTCTATTTAGTCAATGTCTTCTGCTTTGCCTGCGCCACACTGATTTTTTTAACTCTTTATTTTTTTTAATTGCTTTAAACTTCAAAAATGAATTTTGCATTTCATAATAATCTTTTCACTTAATGAACACTGTAAAAAAACTGAGTAAAATGTACTTAATTTTTTTAAGGCAAGTTTGCGCTGATATTTTTTGAGTAAATGTCACACGTACAATTAAGTAAACTATACTTAACTAAGTTAAGTGAAAGTAACATAAGAAATTAAGTAAGTTTTATTAAGCTAATTAAAGGTTAAGTAATATCTATTTTATTTAATTGGTTTTTTCTTTGTACAACATTGAATTAGACCAAAATGATTAAGTATAAGATTTACTCAGAAATGTTTAAATAATCAATACTTATATTGTGTGTCATGACAATTTCATTTTGTGTGTGAACGCAGACCTCAATACTTGGTAGACAATACACAATGACGGTAAAATTTGATTAATCGTTTTTGTGTTTGAATGTCATTTTAAGTAGAAAATGAACTCCGAATGTCACAAAATGGCAAATTACTAATCCTAACAAAAAAAGCAATGATAAAATAGTGTAAATACATATGGAAAATAGTGAAAAATAAACCTCATTAATTATTCATAGCCCAGTGCGTGATTAGTTATACAGTTATATATTATACAAAATGTTCAGTTACAGCTGATTAAACACTAAATTAGTTATAAGAAGAACAAAATGTGTTTTTTTTTTCTCTCTAGCTAATCTCTCGATCACAGGTGGATGGTGTTCATTGTGGTTTGGGTTCTGGTGCCATTGGGTGTTTGCACAGGTGATCCGGAATATGCGCCTAGCCCTGATGGGACTATTTTTATGCACAGCTCCAGCTTTAAAGGGCTTCAAATAGAATGTGAAAAAATGTGAAGTCACAGAGGCCACATAATCAGGGATCTCATCAATATCTATAGCCATTTTCAAGGGATTGCTTACTACTGTGCAAGTTTGCTGTTGGTTCTGTTGCTATATCTTCTATTGTAGCTTAGTTTTTTCAGATGGCACTGGGATTAGTCTTAAAAAATTGATATCATGAAGTACTTACATTGATATCTGTGCTTGACTTGAGATTTGAATTTGTCATGCTGTTTGTGATTTTTTTTTTCTTCCATTGTGCATGTAATTGATGACGACATTAAGGCAAAAGTCAAATCGCACAATTTGAAGTTTTTGAAATATAATTTAATTTGAATTAATATTGACATACTTTAGGTTAATTTATAAAGGTGACACAATAACTAGTGTTAAAAAAACAAGCATAGAAGATTGATCTGTTCAGTGAGGAAAACACTGATCTTAAATTATATTCATGCTGAAAACATTTGTTTACAAAAAGCTAAAGTATAATAGATATGTATATAATAAAATATACACTCAGCTGGCAGTTTTGATTGTTATCTGAATCCAGGATGATTGCTTAAAATTAACGTCCATTATTTTTGTCAGGTTCAATTTGAAACTGCTCAAAGTCAAACTGTGATGTGGATTAGAAGTTAAAGTCTTACTGTAATTAGATAGGACTAGTAACTACACTGATCCCAAAGGAAAACAAAGTTTTATAAACGTAAATCATTTATTATATATATATATATATATATATATATATATTAATTGCATTGTTTTAACACGTTGTAGTTCATTTGATATCCTGCCTGTCTCATTTTACATGTGGCAAAACGGTGGTAAAAGAAATTGCCTTTAAATCCCAGCAAAAACAACCCATGTTCAGCAGTGTACAACCTCTTCCACAGATCTTACAACTAACACGTGCCTCTGACACATGCAACGTAAAACTCAGCCAGCCTCTTTTATCTGATTGGTCAGGGACAAGCCGCTGAGGGAACGGATTGGATGAGGAACGTGTCACTTCAAATGTACGGACCCTATTGTTACTGTTGTTTTATAGACCTTACGTCAATCGTATCTAAGGTAGTGCCAGTAACGACCATAATAATCATTACATTGCTCTGCACATAATGGGCTTTTAGGAAACATTCAGTAATCGTTGCTGTGACCCAATAGTGACGTCTTTTTGACTTTTAAACTTTTTTTTGGCGCGACAATGCTTTAATTATCACTTCCTCGATACGATGAAACAAACGTAGCCTACTATTCGGGTTGTTTCCTCACTTTCTCAAACTGTTATACACGGTGATGTCATGGTGAGTGGCGGGAGCAGTCTCCCTTCCTTCTCTCCTTAACGGGCGCGCTCACTTTTTTTTATAGCGTTTCTTTTGGACAAAAACACAACGTATCAGCCTACTTCTTTCGTGATGTTTTCATTTTCCTTAAGTCGGAGTTCTTAAGTTTTTCATATGTTTGTTTTTAAAGTAGAGATGAGACACGAGTAGAGTAGGAGGTGGAGGATGAGGAGGCGGCGTTTTATGGCAAGCCCATTTAGCAATTATTTCTTTAGAATAACAAGAACATAATTGTGCTTTTATATTTAAATTAATTAGGCCTACTACGAAATATTTGAATAGTGACTAGTTTTACCAGTGGCTCTTTTACTTAGAAGACGGGATGTATTTCGCCATATTGCACATTGCAGTTTCTCCCTTTTAGAGAAACAAGCCCGCAGCCATCTTTAAAATATTGTGTTTGAACTTCTGTTTTTGCGGTAGCTCTCTATAGTTCTATGGCATGGCTGCTGAAGTGTAATTAGCTGAAGTGGCATTATTATCATGAGCATTGTAATATTTGAAGTGGATGTCTATATCACCAGGAATATTTTAAAATGAGCGGTTCATTCATAAATATATGTAAGATTGTACCTTCATTTGGTGTAAATACAAACCGGAAGACAGAACACAATGAGCGCAGCACTGAAAAGCTACACAAGGTCTACAAGTAAACCTAGGCTATATCCTTTAGTCTTTGCTAGTAGCCTGTGTATTCAAGTTATTAGTGGTACCTTTTCCAGTTGTTTAGGAACTACTTGGCTACATATATTTTAGTTTGGGCTATTCCAATAGGCTTACTAGTATTCCAGTTTTCTTAGTAGGCCTACCAGTAAAATAAACATTAGTATTATGGATTAGACAGCACTAAATAGCCTATGCATTTCTGATAGATTTATAATATATTTAAGACTTTTAATCAAGCTATAAAGTAGTCTGTTTTATTAGTCATATAAAGCATAGCCTAAGGAAAATAGTATTGTAAATCATGAGGGAAGAAATGGACTAGTAACAATTGGGATGTATAGACCTACTATAACTTGTGATTGTTAACAATTAAGTAGAGAGAATTAATAAACACTATTTTGACCTATAAAGGATAGGACTTTACTATTTAATATTTTACTTGTAATAAAACACAAGTTTCTGTAAAATACGGCGATTGAACCTAGTTAGTTTTAAAAGGAATGTATGTTAAGACGGCTTGCCATAGGAGGTTGCCTCCGTCTAGTGTTCGTCATATTGTGGGAGGAGCTTTTGTTGTGACAAGAGCGACTGCTGCCTCTTCTGAGTTTGTCAGCCCAGCTCCCGAAAATAGAAGCCGTGTGTCAATGTGACTGAAAATACATTTATGTCACAGTGTATCCACAGGAGTCACTGATACACAGTATCTATATACAGCGAGGGGGACCGCGAAGAAAAAAAGGTGAGTTGCAAAAATAGCAACAATGTTAGACAGTAGTCAGAGAGCGAGAGAGAAAGAGGAGGGAGTCGTGGAGTGCGAAGGGATGAGCACAAATTAAACGCGTTACAATTCGTCTGGGAAGCTAAACATGTTTGTCATGTGTGTGTCTAGGGGTCGGCAACAAGCCTGGAAGAATTTGATGCCGAGTTGCGAGCACCTGATTGAAGGACAACTATATTTTTCGTGCTCGTAATTCTCTGTGAAGAGCTCGTGCGTGGTTTTGGGTTCAGTCCACTTTGACACTTGGCATAGTTGCGCTCTTGTCTCGCATCATTTTCCGGGCGGTGTTAAATATTTCTGGAGGGACGATTAAAAATGAAAGATATTAGCCAGGAAAGCCAGCGGATAGTAAGGTTTTTATTTAATGTTTTTATTGTAAGAGCAGAGTTTGTGTGGACATTGTAGTTTGAAAACCGTTACGCTTTCGCTTCTGAATAGATTCAGAACTGCAGAGATTCAGAACTTCAAAACAGGGCAAGTTCAACTTCAGAACTCGTGCGACATAATGTTTCTTGACTTTGTTTTTGTCTCTTAACATATCTGCAACTGTGGTTAAAGTTCCACGTCAAATAGGCAATGTCTTCCATTCTAGCTGGCTTTTTAGGGAAAGTTGTTTAAAGCACCAAAACTAGCACAGGCAACTAAATATACTATTTTGTCGTACTTTAGACAATATCATTTGTGATGATAATTAAATTGTTTTAGATTTTAAGACATTCTAAAGCGCACAGTCGACTCAACAGTGTTAAATGTAGGACATTACCGCCGTATAACCATCTAAAGCACGCCCGACTGCTTTATGAATATTATATAAAGTTATTGATCTTTTGTTATGTATAACTTTGGAAGTCGTTGCAAATACTTTTCTGTCTGAAATCTTTGGATTGTTGAAACTAAAGTGTCATATTGGTGGTCCGTCGCATGGTCTGCATACTGTATGTTGGTGAATAAACTGAGACAAGTGTAAATTGATGCCATCAATTATTTTATAATAGCATATTAATTTAACTTATTATTCACGAGGTCACAATGTCTTGTTACAAACTAGTGAGAGGTCTAGCTATTGTGTGGTACATGATTGTGACTCATCTGCAAGGCCATACTGATGGAAAGTTATTCAATTAAATGTAATTTCGATTTTATTTCGAGCTTGTATTGCCACTAATCAACAATTGGGTCATTTGCTTTTATCAGTTCTAAAAAATGGCCTGTTTTGTGTATTTTCCGCAAGAGCTGCTGGCTTTGACATGCACAGTGCGGGAACAGAAATCATCCACAGGCAGAGAGTGTAGTACTTGTGCTTGTAAGATTACACATTCCCTGTAGCCTGCCATCTAGTTATTAGTAGAGTGTCAACATTACGAAATGACATGCCATTTTGACCTTCACAAATGTTTTAGGTGTATCAATAACAAATAATTCAACATTGATAAAGATATAAAATTGACCAAACTAATAAAACAGTATAAGCCACGTTGTCTTGACCTGTAGTCTGAATGCCAAAGGCTAAATTAGGCTGTGTTCCTAGGGTTACTCAGTACTTGTGTCTGACAAGCATTGTAATTACGAGCCACATGAGGCAGGCAATCAGGTTACGGTACATCATCATGAAAATGACGTCAGGAAGAATGTTTGTCTGTTCCTCTGATTGTTTGGCTTTTAAGAGGCTTAAAGCCTCAGTGGTCATTGCCCTACACACTATAGATTTATTGATTAGTTCAATATTTCAAGCTGATCAGAGAGATGGTATAGCCTTAGAGGGAATAGTGTTTGTCCCAAATTGAACAAAGGCAAAAAACTAAAAGAAACATGGGTGTTTCTTGTGCATGAGTGCATGTTTTAGATCAAATTTGATTTGTCCATGTAGACCTATAACATAAGTAAATAAGAAGTATAGTTATTTAATAAAAAAAATCATACTATGTACTAACATTTAATTTAATCATTTGATTTGTATCTATTGTATACATTTTTGTGTGTTTATTGCAGTGGCGTAGGTTTGATTTTGAAATTGGAGGGGACGGGGACATCAGTATACCAATTTTTTTAAGATATGGTCAAAATTATTGCTAGGGATATACCAGTGTCACTGAATATTGGTAGGGACACACCCCTAGCGTCCCTACTAAATTTTACGCCCCTATTGTGATTTTATGTTGTACACAGACATATTATACTGCATGCACATCTGTAATTAATTTATTTAAACGCGTGTTTTTGCAATACAAAATGAACACAAGTATTGTGTGTATAATATATATGTATATATATATTTTTTTTATGAATTTTTTATAAAATATTTTAAATGTTATATATATGCATACAGTAAAGTACAAATTAGTTAACACACCTATTATAAAGTCATACAGAAGCTTGACATACTACTATAAGCATTTATAAAGTGTGTTAGATTGGTTATATTATTGTTTGATTAGGCCATTAACAGTACGGATAACACGCATTGAAAAAGTTTTGTTGCAAACCATGTTAAAATATGGTTTGAATAAATGTGTTTTCATCTGAGGTGCATAGTAAAGATTTAATATCCCAGTCAAGTGTATAATATACCATCCCACTTTTTCCATCTGGCTTTCTATGCGACTTCATTATAGTTTAATAAGCCCAAACTAAACATGGGTGCAAATTCAGCTCTGAAAACATCACACTGAAATTCAATAGCTTTCTGTTTACACACTTGACAATGAATTAGTCAGCGAAGGAATTCTTTTAATATTCTGAACGCCGTTCACCCGACATGCCCCCCTACAAATCCGATAAAGCACAACATCACACTTGAAATTGGTGTCCTGCTGTGCTCTGTTAATAAAGCGTCTTTTGTTTATGATGTTTTTTTTTTTATCACTAGTACTGATACACCAGGGGTGTTTTTTATATGAAGCTTCTATTTTTGATATTTTATTGGGTTGTTTTCTTTTAGAACATTAATTGTATTTAAAAACCCTCCTCTTTTCGACCCCAGTCACTTGAATAAAGTCCATGCAATCAGTCTCTAATATGATTTCCAGGTCAGACTCAACAGCATTGGACCACGGTTAAATACATTCCTACATGCGACTTCTTCAGATCAGGGGCTGTAGAAGTTTTCTCAGGCCCACTTCTTCTTATTTCTCCCATAGGCTTGCTGTAGACTGTAGTTTACACTTCATCTGGATTAATGCATCAGATTTTTAGCGTATGCTATATGGTGCACTTGCACCTCTTCTGTCAGCATGCGTCGTCCCACGGGCGTCAGTCCATGCCTGTCCTGTTCTTGTGAAATAAAGTCAGCCGCGGTGAAGTCGAGCTCCAGAGGTGGTGATTGGTGTTGCCCAAGGTGGGGGTTAGAGCATCTCCCACTGTGCTGTTCATAGCACTCCAATCTCACAGCCTGCTCTCAGCTCCTTCCAGGAGAGAGTGAATAGAGAGAGTCTGGAGTGTGTGGGCGAGTCTGATCTGCAATTAACGCTGGTTGTCAGAAAGAGAAGGCTGGCGTTTACACCATGCTTCTGAATCACTGAGCGAAACACTTTTCCTCTCTTCCCTTCCCCCTCGAACAGGGCATTTTACCCGAGGAGGAGAAAGCACCAGAGAGAAGCATTGAAAGCAAAGGAAGAAAGAACGTAAATAAGACTTGAGCTGGATATTTTGGGTTCAGGACTGAGGATTGTGCCGCTTCGTTTGTTAGGGTAAGCCCAGCTCTTCTTCTCTTTCTGTTCAAACATCTGTTTTAATTACCCAGAGCCTCACTTTTTATGTATTAAATCTAATGAAGTAAACATGATACAGTCCCATATGGCATAAACTCTACACGCACAATAGGATTTATATGGTGAAACTCTGTTGAAAACAAGTTGTTGGTCTTGTTTCAAATAGGAGTTACATTGGCATTGCAGAAGTTGTAGTGTTTAATTTGAAGGTTAATTTCACGTTAGCTGAATTTAAAGTGAAACACCCTGTTCTTAAGTGTCTTATTTGAGTCAGCTGCAGCTGGCAAAGGATGCATTGTTCAGTCTCTAAGTTAGCCGCAAATGTTATTTAACAAGCAGAGGCTGGGACTTTTCAGAACAAGGGCACTGGTATGTAATTTTGTGAGTCTGTACATTTAAAAAAAACAGAAAAGAAAAAGAAGAGAGATTTTATTCATTTATTATTTGCTGCTGAAAATGTGATGCAATTTATTATTTAGAGACCAAGATTGTGGAATTCTGTAAAATATGTATGTTTTGTAAAATAAAAATACTGCTTTTTAGGGATGTGAAACGATTAATCGCATCCAAAATAAAAGTTTGTGTTTACGTAATATATGTGTGTGGAGTGTGTATAATTATTTGGTATATATAAATACACACACATGCATGTATATATTTAAGAAATATTTGAATGTATATACTTTGTATATATTTATTCATATACATACCGGTAAATATAAATATTTGATTTATTAATAACACATTTTTCTTAAATATATACATATATATTTTTTAAATATAAAGTATACAATTTTAAATATATATATATATTTTTTTTTCTTAAATATATTATATATATATATAAATATAATTATTTCGTATATATAAATAAACACACATGCATGTATATATTTAAGAAATATTTGAATGTATATACTTTGTATATATTTATACTGTATAAATATAAACAAAGTATATACATTCAAATATTTTTTAAATATATACATGCATGTGTGTGTATTTATATATACCAAATAATTATACACACTCCACACACATATATTACGTAAACACAAACTTTTATTTTGGATGCGATTAATCGCGATTAATCGTTTCACAGCCCTACTGCTTTTTAAACTATATTTTATTAATTGAGTTAAAGGACCGAAATGTTTAATCTTTGCTGTCATCCTTTCCCAATTTAAGCCAAATCAACCAACAACAAAACCAGTCAATGACATATTTAATAACACACTTGTGCAATACTTACTGGACGTTTTCAGGGACGTCGTTGCATTTTACGCGTCTTGCTCATTACTTGTTCGAACGCTCCTGTCGCAGGCCCATTCTTTTTCCCAGAGTGTGAAGACTCTTTAGCAGTCCTGTTCGAAATATTTTTCAGATCAGGCCTATGGAATGTGCCATACTTCTGCACCATGTCCGTTAAATCACGCTCGGTTTTCTTTTTGTGCAACGGCTCTCTTTCACGCTTGCTCAGAGCAGCGTGATTCATTGTTTATTGGAACCCTATCATTGAGCTGGAGATTCCAGCATTCTCCCGTGAGACCTGGAGGCAGGATGCAGAATCTTGAGCCCAGCAGATAATGTTTGAGCCATAGTTTGCTTGTGTGGGCAATGTAGACCTTTTTCGCTCCTCTGGGAACATCTCTGAGGATTTTTTTTGGTTCAATAAAAGGCGTATAAATGGGCTGCTTTTATCACCATAAAGGGCAGAGTTATGAATATGCATCCGCATGCATATATTCAGTTGATTTTAGTCTGCGCTGACTTCCCTCTCTATTATCTGTGTTTTTTGGATCGGCTCTCTAACCCAGTGGAATGTACGATGTCCCGGCAGGGTCACCCCATAAGTAGCAGCGCCAAAACCAGAAACCTCTGGCTGCCTCCTGTCCCCACCACCACTCCACATTGCCACACTTTTGATTCTAAATAAGTTACCAGAGGATATGGGGAGCGTGTTAGGCAAACAGAAAAAACATCATTTAAGACGTGTATCAAAATATTAGCTCCTCATTTAACTTGCACGCACACACAACTCCGTCTGTTGCAAGCTGTAAATAGGTTTCCATTTCACTTGCCAAATAAAACCATCTATCAGGTTCTTAGGCTCCTCGGTTTTAGCTTTATTAGGCAGCTTCTTAATATGTAGTGATGATGATTTCCAAACCATTGAGCATCCAAGTTGGCACAGGCCTCCTCACCACATGAAAATACAGCTCACTTTCTGACATGTGGATAAGATTTCAGAGTTAATATTGGTTAAATCGTATTTAAAGTGTGTAGCCAGTGTTGCAGAATGGCTGGGGCAAAAAAGCATGCTCAAAAATATAATTAAATAAGAGCATGTGAGAGGGACTTACAACTGAGAATTATCTGGCTAGACACACGTCAGCTGAATGTATTCCTGTTTCTCTATTTGTCACTCCCTAGAAAAGCATTCGGGTCTGTCTGGGTCATCAAGAACAGAATTTAGGCAAGAATGGTGTGATACGCAATGGTGTGATCTGTGTGATCAAACGTTATACTTCCATTTTTGTAGTTTTAAATCTGTTGTAAATGTACAAGAACTTTATTCAATTAGTCAATAATCTCCATTTAACTTCTAACATTCATTAAAGGGTTTTAAACATTAAGGGTCCAATATGTAATAATTTTTAATAAAATATCCAAAAAATCACTTGCACAGTGTGATATATTTCCTGCAGTTGTATACCAGTAAAGTCTCCAAAGTTATTTTATTTCAGAGAAATTCCAATTTTAAATAAGTGGCCCTCTGTGAAAAAATGTTGCCTGTCAATGACGCAATATCCGCGCTATCCTCGGTTTCTGCTCGTACTGCCATAGCCATGACGTTACCATGGCGACAGACGTGGACAACTGCGTAGTGAGTAACGTTTAGCGGCACCCAGTTCTTGTTTCGTTCAAACACAGACCATGGCAAGCAGACTTTGGGATAAACAAGGAGAACTAAAATGAGGATCAATATCAGCGGGATGTTTTTGAGATGCCGAGAGCTAGCGTCCGAGACTGACTTCCACTCGACAGAGAGCTAGCGTCCGTGCCGTGACTAACTTGGACTTGACAGAACTTCACGAATCACGACTTTACAGCTTTATTAGACAGGTGAGCAAATGTACATAAAACAAATCAATGTTATAACGTTAGCTTGACATGATGAAATGTTAGAATATGGTCAGGATGTTATTCTTATGTTGATCTAGCTGCTAGTTTCGCATAGCAAACGAACTAACTCGTAGAATAACAATATAACTTTCAACACACATTTAAATGCCGTATAGTGTGATAGTGTATCGTTATACCAAGTGGAACAGCGCTGCGTTTCCCTAACAAACTCATCTAACAAACTGACCTGTGTGAGTAATCCAGCACTTGCGAATGAAATTTCCTTATTCCTTTATATCCGTGGTACTCGCGTGTGATGTATGTCTCTTATTAGCAATCGTGACCTGCTTCGTACCACTGTAATGTTAAAAACATGAGTGTTTTCACTAGTCCATAAACATTATTAGATCCATCAGCTTTAGAGCCAGGCCGATATTATCGGACGATATTAGGCATTTTCTTAAATATCGGTATCGGCAGTTATAATCGCAGATAAATGAATATTTCAAAAATAAAATAAAAACGGACGAATCACGCTTCAACCATGTCATGAGTGTTGTCAAAAAGTGCTGGTAAAGGGATAAGCAAGCTGACATTGTAATTATAATAAGGTAGCTTATAAGTATAAGGCAATGTAGGTACTAATTATTATTTTATTTATCAGAGACAATAGAAACAAGTTTCTTTTTAAAATGCATTATCATATTATTTTAGTTAAAACTAATAAATAACTACAAATAACTAATGTTAGGGAAATCTTGTTTTTGTTGTGCGTTATCTGAAATAATAATAATAATAATATCGGCCGATATATCGGAATATCGGATTTTAAAACCAACAAATATTTGTATTGGTATCGGCCTTCAAAATCCTTTATCAGTCTGGCTTTAATCAGCTTGACAGCTAGTCCCATCATTCAGCTCGTCACTGCGCGTTTGCGGAACTGCGCCCTCTTGTGGCCAAAAAAGCTACATATTGTAGCTTTAATGCCTTTCCATCTGAAGTTTAATGGAGACTCTGTAGTCTCAGCCACACTGTATCAAATTTCTATTTTAACGATATCAATACCATTTTTTAATTCAGTAAGCATTTGAGAAAGTTTTCAGGGAACGTTATATTATTAGGTTGAAATTGTAATTTACAATTTGGACCTTCCCTGCATAAAGACACAACTTTACCCATGAAACCCAATATTGTCTGACCACACATGTTCGATTTAACAGCATTTTTAGAAAGCAAATGCTATCTGTTGTGAATGATTTTCCTCTTTAGCCTACGCCTGCGTTGTCTAAAGGAACAACTAACGTTGACCTTTCGACTGCCCTGCCCTTGGCTGTGACCTCTGGTGTTAAGCCACTCAGCACATGTGCTGCTGAACAGTGCAGAGCGGCTTAAGGATCGTCAACCTCTTTCCTGTCTCCTTCCCGAAGACGTGGTCATGCGCGAGCAACTGGTTTCAGGTGTCCTCTTGAATTCGCTCTAGGCCGTGGCTGGGTCCTCTCCTCGGCATCACGGGTGTGAGACTGAAGCCAGAGCAGCCCAAAGCTGCTAATCCTCTTTCTCTACTGATCCTCTTCCTCTCTGCCTCCTCACCCTGCCACCACGCTGCCCTCTCAGGGTTAAAAGGGCAACATAGGCAGAAGTCCCATGTTACTCAACACAAAACCAAAACAAAACAAAACCCTTCGAGTGCTGAACACTAATCCGTGTAGTCCATGGAGGGTAATTTACCGTAGATTATCTCATTTTGTGGGTCAGCGATTAGCCTTGACACAAGCTTCATTATGAACTCCTATGAGTGTGATCAGGATTATGTCTTTTATCTGTTGTTGCACTTGTCATCAGAGTGCCTC